GATTGGAAAGTGCTGCACATTAGAATATCACTAAACATTTTGATCAGAGAATTTTTATCACAATACATCCTCAGTTAGCTAACAGATACCAGTTATACAATACCTTTAAATTAAACTAATTAGCTTTCTATTTTCTATTCATAACTCATAATCATTCTTATTTTAAAGTAATTAAATTCTTTATTAACTTAGACTTCGGTGGTTTCTTATTTTATGCAATTAAAAAAAAAATTGAAGGTACTGTTTTCCATTTGTCAAAGCAAATCTAAATACCTTTTTATTAACGAAATTCGATGAGCTTTATTTTTGTATATAGTAACTTCTTCATTTTACGGGATAAATCGTAACTAAAGTCCCTGGATGTAAGTAGAAGATTTCTCGCATTAGACATCGGACAGGAAGTAATCAAAAAGCTAATATATGCAATTTTTTGTTTATGAAAATATATGTACACTTCCATTCTCTTCTACGATTGTATGTAGAGTAACTCAAATGAATATAGAATAACCTCTATAAAAATTCTATTTTTAAGTATGTAGAAATCTGATAGACTAACTAGATTTGCACCTAGATAATGAAAAAAAATCTATTACACGTGTCTATGAGATAGGGAAAATAATGCTAAGCGTAATGGCTACTTGCAAAGACACATTATTTCATATTATGTGATAATGTGCAAAATACTCTTTGTGATCCTGGCAGAAAGTTTTAGATATCTCATAATACACTGTCCTGGATCTTTCAATGATCCAACAATTGTGAAAAATATTCCTTTTGCGTGAGATCTTGCTGTATTACAACAAACAATCAGTACTCATTTGGATAGCAAAGGTCACTGGAACAATAAGCAAACAAGTCGATCTAAAAGATTATGTTATTAATTTGTATGCATTCTTATAATACAGTAGAACTCCATTTATTCAAACATCATTTATTGAAAAGAAATTTGGTAAATGACTTAATATTTAGTTTTTATTAAATTATATTTAAACTTCTATTGAGCTCCATTTCAAAAAATCATTGCACTCACTTATGTGAGTACTAAACGCTGTCTTACATGAGTAATACAATTTTTTCTGAATAGTAATTACATATAAA